GTATATATATTTATGGTTTTAATGTTCTGTGTGAGTCACCCAGAGTTCCCCCACTGGGGGGAGATGGGCGGGGGAGAAATTTAAGATAAACAAACAAATAAATAATAAACAATACAGAATTAATCACTGAATTATCAAATTATCAAATAAGACTAAGGTCTACTAACTATAACTGAAAATGAATTTCAGTTGTGAATGAATTTAAGATCTATAAGATGCCATAAGGTTTATGTTATAAAATGCCTATGAGAATAAAATCTATAAAGCTAGAAACTATAAGTTTATAAACTTACATGACCTAAAATACCCTGAGATAAAACCTAATCAAATTAAAATAATAATTATGCATTTCTAGAAAAACTAAATATTTAATTAACAAGCAACTAAGATCAAAATACATATATGAAATATTTTTTAGCCCAATTAATGTTTCCTGGCTATCAGGTCCTGCCATATTTTATATTCTCTCACAAAGAACTTGGCTAACTTTGAAAGCAATAAGAGCTGTTTTCTAGAAGCAATACAGGGATGTAGAATTAATCTGTTCAGGCTGGTAGCCATAAAAGTAATGGGTACATAAACATAGTACAAATGTCTCTGTAATATTTACAGTAGAAGAGAATGTGTTCAATAGTTTTGACTCGGCCATCATCATGAGGACACAAATGCTCCATGAAGGAGATCTTCCTATATCTTCTCTCTAGCACACCTAAGCAGAGGGTAGGGATGTGAGCCTGAGTGAAAATCCTTCTGTGTTTAGGAACTTCTAACTGCATAAGACATGTTGCAAATGGTACTATATCTATCACTTTTTACCATCTATTTCCATTATAAGAAATAACAGACTGCCTTATAAGAAATCTAGACTGGTTATACCCCTTGAGAGTAAACAAGTAAAAGATAACCCAAAGCTAAATAAGGTAATTTATTCTTTTCCATAAGGATTGGTATGTATGTATAAGCATTCATAGGCTAGTAATATTTATTTTTAATACTTTACAAAAGATTTTCCCTACTATTATAAAAGTAAGTTTTGTAAATCACTATGCTAACTGTGTTAAGAACAAGGGGGAAAATCCTTCCTAATGCAAGCCAAAATCAGCAGGGACATAATTTTCATTGCTAGGAACCAAAGTTCAATCCATTCTTTTCCCCATTATAGAATTTATCATATAGGAAACAAAACTACTACTGACAGTCAAGAGAGAATTAAATACATCATAGGCCTGAACTGGTGGAATGAAGATTCTTTTTTATCTAATTTGCATCTCTTCTTCATTTTTATATGAATCTTTGATTTTTCAGGAGGCATTTCTATTATTTTTTCCAGTTCTTCAGTTATTATTTAAATAAGTTTTATTAAGTTTAGGAAAGCACGATTTTATTTTATTTATTTATTTTTCGTATTTACATAGTTGCCCCTCTGGGCGGCGTACAACAATTAAAAAGAATAAATACATAAAAAACAATCACAAGTAAAAAAATAACTAAAAGCACATTTAATATTTTAATGGATGCCTTAATGTGGTTACTTTTGTTTTATTCTTTCTTTGGTCAAAAGCACTATCTTGCTTTTATTTAATCAATTAATACGCAATCATTTTTAAAAACAATCATTTATAAATATAAAAAATATTTTTTACATTTTATTTCATTTGTTAAAGACTAAATAAATCACACTCAGGAAATACCTTCTGTTTTCTCTTTTCCTTTCTTTTATCTTCTGTATCTTGTAACATCTTTTCTTTCCACAGATCAAAGAAATATGAAGGATTTGTGTAAAATTTTAAACCCTCTTTTCCATCATCTCTAAAGGCAAGGCAATTGTATTAGGTAAAATGTTATTAAATATAGATTGAATGATAGCATATTCTACATCTGAGACTGTAACATCCTCATCTCCAGATGAAGTCTTAAGCAGAGCATACATACGTACAAACACACACAGGGGAAAAGGTGCATTTTAATTTCCAAGAAAAATAACTGATACTCCACAATAAAGCACACATTGAAGGAAATTAAAATTAAATGATGTGAAGACAGTAGATAACCATAACTGGGGGCAATAACAAGTGGACCCGAACTTTAAATTATTGAATACACAAATCACGGCAAATGTCTCATCATATTTCTAAATATTTAAAGACTATTTAAAATTCTTTGTGATGCCCATTTAAATTCTATTATTTATTTGGTGATTTTGAAAAAGAGCTTGAGTGCTAAGCTCATTGCA